TTGCTGTTATATTAAAGTTTTTCTTCATTACCCATTCAAACCGTCTCCAGCCATTATTTGTGATAATTAGTAAAGCTGAGAATGAGCAATCTTTCTGATAGAGAGTCTGGTGTGTTGTATCTGGGGTTTTCCCATTAAGATCAGTTCACTAGCATACTAGAATGCTTTCAATAAGAGTATGTAGGTTTTGCATGTTGTCTAAGTTACTAGGTCAAGCAACAATTTTTCTATTTAAGAACAGCATCTGTGTCAGTTAGTTATGTGTGAGCAATATGACTTGTCCTCAGGCATAATTCATTACATGGTTGCATAAATTATAGTTTAACCACATGTACTGTTTGGTTAACAGTCTCATTGTATCAAGAAACTTAAATGTAGCATTTGTATGCAGAAGGTTTACATGCCTTTGCTATGAATGTACATAGGCCTAATATTTGGATATAGAAAATATAGTGTAGTTGGCTTTTTATTATACAGTCTTTTTTACTTTAACTCAAAAGATATTATAATTTACATCAAGTCCATAATATATATATATATACACACACACATATATACTAATATATAAAGCAGTAAGTCATAAACTGCTCACCTAATACTATTGCGAAGTAAATTCTAGAAAGTAGTTTATAATTACAAATAAGAAAGATGGAAAATTACATTTTACCAACACAATCTGGTTCATATCGAAAAAGTTCTTGTTCAGCAGTTTGCTAATAAAAATAGCATCTTAACCACTACTATGTCTGTCGTACCCTGCTGGCTTGAAGAGCCCTGTTATTTCATTGGCACTGAATATAACAGTGTGGTTGACATATGTTTATACCCTCTTCTCTACTTTCACTCATAAGTTCTTATTACTGGGTGTATTATATTAGTATATGTGTTTCTATATATATATGTATGCTTACCTAATGCTGTAATAAAGTACATTCTGCATAGCAGTTTACAGTTGCATCTGTTTAACATTCTGCTGTTAAATGTTTAAATATTTGTCATGTAAAGAAACATTGAGACTGATAACTGTAAAGGTATGTGTGACTTTTAGCATGTCTATTCATGCAAGATCAAGTGCAGTAATAGTAATATTGTACTTCACACAAATAATGTCAAATTTTGTTATTTATTGAACAAGTTTAGTGATATCAGTAGAACAGAAAAACATTTTGGTAAATGTATTAATTATTCAAAAATAAACTTTAAGTTTATATTGATGATTGTAGAAATTGTTTGAAATTAAACTTGTGTAACTGTTAAATGTATATAAGGAATTAACAATAGAGAGCATTATACTGTTGCATGAAATTGTTAAATAGCGAAAAAACAAAGTGAAGCATGGTGTTACAATGCTTGGATAAGTTATAGAATGTATGGTTAAAACTTCATCTAGTAAAAAAAAGTGCAAATTACTGGATTGAAGTAATATTTTATTTGCATTTTTGAGATTGGGTGAATAAAAAATTACTTTGATTACTGTTTGAAAGAAGTTTGAGAAGTTGTTTCAGTGCCTGTTGTGTTCTGATATCCATAACTTAGACGACATTGGTTTGTTTGCAAGAATATAGGTATTTTATATTTCAAGTAATAACGAAAGAGTGGTTGTGGAATATGTTGTTTTCTAAACATAGCATTGTTTCTGGATTTCCCTATTAGTATTTTCACTTTAGAAATAATTCAGCAATATAGGTTTGTTACTCAGCTTGTATGGATTATTTCATGTTGTCTAGAACTATTCGCTGGTTGGACAGGTGCATAAAATCACACCAAAAACCCCAGAAGCAAAATATTTTTCCAATTGTTCAAGGAGGACTTGATTCTGAGTTGAGAAAAAAGTGTGTAGAGGGTGAGTCATTATGGAAGTAATTTGTAACAGTTGTTAATAGTTGAGTAACCACAATACTCTGAAGTTAAAACTTAATACCTATAGGTGTAAGATGACTGGTCATAGTGTGTGAAGGAGACTCAGCATGATACTGTTAGTGGTGTCTGGGGGCATGCCCCCCAGAAAATTGTGAGCCAAAAGCATTGGTTCTGCATAAATGTAAAAATAGAAAAACCTTGGGGGGGGGGGGGCAGAAACCAGTTTTGGAGGGCAAAGCCCCCTTTTATCTGCCTGTTTCATGATAATATCAACTATCAAAATATTTTTGTCTGATTTAGAATCCATTAAACATGTAATAATGGCCAAGTAAAGACTAGGTCCTTCAACAGCACCTTTGCTTATATAAAGTACCACTGTTGTGTACCAGCTTAATGGTTAGCAAGCCCACGTGCAATCAACCAACAAACAAGCAAGAAAATAGATGAGTCTTTTAGTTTATAACTTGAGGTTTCATTAATCTACAAAAGAATTATTCATATAATTGTTTTGACTGGTTAGTAGTATAGATGAGAGACATTTCACTGTTTTGTGTGAACCCTTACATCACAGTTGTTGTTCAAACAGAAGTATAAATGCACCTTCAGCGTGTTGATGACATCTGGGTCATTACATAGCTCGCAGACAGTAACTTCTTTTTTTGTACATGTTTTAAAGTTAAAGGGAATTTATGTTGTTAAATCTTGGGTTTGACTTGAAAAAATTGAATTAAGGTATAAATGTTTACAATTGTGAATTACTATTAACTGTAAGTACTGAACATATGTTTTCCTACACAGAACCATCAGGATCCTGAGTGAGCAGCAAATGTACCCATAGTTTTACTGATGAATTAACTTTCCCATATACCACACTTCAGTTATTATTGTGATAGGAAAGTATAACCAGTACAGCAACAGTTTCATGCAGTATTCTTCCCAACAAACTAATTTTTCTGCTTTTCAGAAGGCAAACTTAGAATGATCTAACCATCAGCAGAGTGAATGTTTGAATTTTTATGTGGTAATAATGGTTAAGTCTGCATACACATATCAAAGCTAATATTTGGTCTGATGTAATTGTGGTGCAAGCATTTCTGTTGACAAAGTTAATTGGGAATATCATATTAATGGTATCACCGTTACTTATCGCTTTTCTCTGAAATGGAAGAAAAACGATTATATGAACAGTTTCATATAAGATTTGTGTCTTGCTAAATTGTGAATGGTCTTATTGGACCACTCCACTACACCACTAGGCTTTCCAGGTGAACATAATTAATTGCCTGTTCAGAAGAATTTAGTATAAATAACTGTTAGTTACAAAAAATTTGAAATGCAATAATTAAGAATGGTATTTGTCCAGTTATTCTTTTAATGTGTTTATGACAAACACGGTCTTGATACTTCTAAGGTACTGTTCAGGTTAGTGAGTGAACTAAATACAATTTTCAAAATAATGCAAAAAATATCCACTTAAAATAAATTTAAACAAGCAAAAAAGAATTGTAAGTTTAGTTTGAACTTTTCCAGATACTTTGTTTTACACTCACCTTCTGAGTTAATTTTTTTATCACATAATAATAATAATTTTAAAAAATTGCTATATGAATGAAAAAACAACAACAAATTAACTTTAGAGAAACACATTTTTTAAGCTATCATTAAATACGTAATAGTTAGCAAATAAAGTTATATTCACCCTGCACTATCAAATAGTGCCATTTAACTTATAAAATTGAAAATACTTTGTTATGAAGTATTTATTTAAACACATTTCATTATTCTCAGGTAATCAAATTAAAGAGAAAGTGAATTTTTTTCACCTTGGTTTAATCATTTTATTAAGTTATTTATTTTACAGAACTAGTAAAACGTGATGTACCAGGTTTTGCAATTGGTGGTTTGAGTGGTGGAGAAGCAAAAGACATGTTCTGGTCAATGGTTCACATCACTACTGATTTTCTGCCCCCAAAAAAACCTCGTTACCTCATGGGTGTTGGGTAAGGATAACTAAAAAAGCTTTCTTTCCAAAAAATCTTTCTTTGAGATTTAAAACTAGAAGGTTCCTTTATTACTTAGTGTTTATGTTTAATTGGAAAACTTTACAAGTTGATTTATCATATGCGTATGCATAGAATTATTTAATTTTTTTAAAGAATTGATGTATTCAGGTTGTCAAAATCTGGTTCCCTCATGGTTGTTGGTTTTTACTTTAGTGTTTATGTTTAATGGGAAAACGTTACAAGTTGATTTATCATATGTAATATGCACAGAAGGATTTTATTTTTTGAAAGAATTTATGTATTCAATTAATCAAAAGATACTCTGTCCTTTGTTTCTGAAATGTATTATGTTGTTTCAAGAAACTTGAAGAATTTAAAATGATAGTTATTTTCTTAGTTTTGCTAACAAGCTGATAACTCAAGTAATTGGTATCCATCTTAAATAGTTGTATTACAAACTCTAGGAAAAATAATTTGAATTTTATTTTATAACAGAAGTAATAATACTTTTTTGGATTCAGTTTTGCAGTAGACCTGGTTGTCTGTTGTGCACTTGGGTGTGATATGTTTGACTGTGTATTCCCAACAAGGACGGCAGTAAGTTCAAAAAAATTTGTCTTATTTGGATTTTAAGTTATTGTATTTTAGGATAGGCCATTTACCCCAGAGTATTGCAGGTTTATATGTTTTTGATAATCTTTGTTAATTAAAAATTAGTGAATTAAAAATATTGAGGAATTCAAGATAAGTGTTATTACATCAGTGGAAGGCCTGATGGTTAGGGTTCTCAACTGCAATCTGTGGGCCGCAGGATTGACACCAGGGGCTGAACATGCTTGCCCTTTCAGCCACAAAGGCATTATAATGTGCTGATTAATCCTACTATTTATTGGTAAAAGAGTAGCAGATAGTCTTAGTAGCATTGCCATAAACAAAACTTCAATGTAAAAAGTAACATAGATTTTTCAAATGTTCTAACTCAAATTTTAAGTTAATTTGATAAGAACTGCTCAAATTTTTTTAGTTCTTTTAATGTTTTCCATTGTTAATATTTTTTAGCTTAGTCGAGATTATCTGTAAAACTGTAAACTGTTTAAAGCCAAAAGTTATTTTTCTTTTTTTTTTAGAGATTTGGTTGTGCATTAGTGGATAGTGGTCAAATTAATTTGAAAAATCGAATTTTTGCTGAAGACTTTAGACCAATTGATGAACAGTGTACTTGTACAACTTGTAAGCGATATCATAGAGCTTACCTTCATTCTATTGTCACTAAAGAAACAGTAGCCTGCCATTTAGTAACGGTTCACAATATTGCTTATCAGGTTAGTGATTTTTTTTCTCTTATATAATTAGTATAAATTACATAGCAAAAACATATTTTTGTGTCTATTCATGAGAAGAACAATATTATAGTAAAATTGTATGATTACTTTGAATTAAACATGTTAATCTTATTCTTATGTAAAAAGCATGCTAATTTCTGAATAAATCTAATTTGTGTTATCATAACACTTAACCATTCTTATCCTTTATAACCTGTTTCCATGATAATATTGTGATATTAAAGTTGGTTTTTTATTTGTAATTTATAGTAATGGTATAATGATGTGCTATTAGTTATTGTAATGTTGTGATATAGTTGTGGTGATATTGTTCCTTATATCCTCTAAAATATTGTAACTACATGTGTGGTATATTCAGGTGAATTGAATTAACTGGAATGGTAATGTTTCTTGTATCTTCTGACTGATACTGTTTTGTCAATGTTTCTGTAAATCTAACATAATATAGTGTGTTATTAAATTACTGTTTCCTGTACTATGTAATGATATTTTTAGAACTTCTTATGTTATTTAATGTTCTGCAGTGATTTTTTTTTTTTTGCTAATGTACCTCTAAAGTTAATATAGTGTATTGTTATGTTATTATCTCTTGTACTATGTAGTGGTGTTTTTATCATTCCTTACATGTTCTAATGTTTATAAATGTTGTGTTGCTATCATTTCTTGTACTCTAACATATTCTAGTATTGCTGTTCCTTGAGTCTAATGTAATGTAGTTGTAACATGGTATTTGTTTTGTATGCAATCAAATGTATAATTGTGGTGTTCACCAATTATTACATAAATCTATATGCATATTGACATTATATTCAAATGACATGATATCCTAAATTTATTAATAAAAGCACAGCTACACAGTGTGAACTAGTACATATATTTTTATTATTGTATTTGGTTCCTTCCTGTAGACTGGGTTAATTCGGAAGTATAAGAAAAAATTTGAATTTGCTATCAAATATCACTTAAGTGTGAAGGATATTCTTATTGAGTAGCTAGCACCATTATACAATATATATGAAATATTTATTGAATGAAAATTGAGAAAATCTAAATATTTTAGTTCCAATAAGAATTCCTAAACTTTAGGGTGAATGCTCAAAAATAACTATTTGAAGATGTGTACACAAATTAATGCAATGTGTGTGTCAAATGTAATTTCTTAATAACATTTACGAAAATACCATGCTTTTGAAAAACAACTAATTCAGATTGAAATGTTGAAACAATGTTTATGTAAGTATTAGTAATTTCTATATACATATGTTGTTTAAACTTTTTTTTCGTTAAGTCATAGACAGTGAGTATATTTTAGATTACTACAGGATTAAAATAGCTACTTTTTTTGTCATGTCTGTAACTGTTTATTTTGTATACTATATGCAGATGAGTCTAATGAAAAGTATCAGAGACAGTATTAAAAGTGACAAGTTTCCAGTCTTTGTTCAAGAATTCATGCTAAAAGTGTACCCCAAGAAGGACTATCCTAAATGGGTGACTGATGCTTTGGCTGCAGTAAACATTAACCTCCAGTAAAATGTTTTATTAAAGCAGCATAGTTTTGTAAAAAAAAAAAAATGTAAAAACAATTAAGCCATGAAGCTTATTTATTTTCAGTAGACTGGTTAATGTAAGATAGTTAATGCTACAAAAGTTTAAGTGTTAAGAAAATATATTCGATTTTTGTTTTATAATGACAGCCAGCACTTCGGTGGAACATTTAGGTTTAAAAATATCTATAGTACAATAATTTTGGTTCTAAAATATTAATAAAATTACATGCCTCTGTTTCCTTAAAAAACAAAGCAGCATATGCTAAGGTATTAAAATGAATTTTTTACTAAACAGTAACAACAAGATTAGAATTTGACATTATTCAAATACTTCACAGTTGAAGGTATTTTCATAAATCTATAGACTTGTCTTAACCTAAATCATGACAGTAGTTATCAGGAAATTCAAGCTGTTAAAATTTGGTTTTCATAGATTTTTGAATTATATACTGTTGACTATGTTTTCTTTTGAAGCACAACAAAATTATTTTAAATCTTTTGAATTTAAAAATTCAGAAAATGTGTATGTAATGAGACTGTATTTTTCCTACTACTTTTATGTAATGTCGTAATTTATCAGTGACTGAAGATCATGGTGGTTCTCCTCCCTTTACACACTGAAAGGGATGATGCATCAGTGACTTTTAAATTTATTAACATAAAATGTTCACTGTATTCAAATTAATTAAAGGAACTTGTTAACTTAGGCAAAGTGTTTCCAGTTTGTGTCTTCATTAGTTTGTATTTATACAAAATCAGCTTCTTAGCTATTCTCAACTTTCCAAATTACCGATTTTTAGTTACATTAAACTGTTCACAGTGAAATTCAGTCTAAAAAAGTCATATTGTCAAGTAACTTAACAATGACATTGTTCATGATATTTACAAAGAAACTCAATTTCTGTAAGAAAATACTGTAGCCTAGCAGTATTGGTGTTTCAGCTTCAATCTTTTCATTTTTTAGCATTCTAGTTTGAAATGCTAATGAAAGAATATGAGCATTTGGGGAAGATGAACTAAAAGAAAGTTAAAGGATGGGTACCACAGATTTATCCCCTGTGTATTGTTATTTATTGCTATAGAAATTGATACTGAAATGATGGATACAATTTAACTGTTAATTGTTATTAAACAATATTATCTTCCCAGCATGAATGAACAAATCCAGTTTTTAAATGTTTTTATAAAATGTATCCCATTTCTTTAAGTTATACATTTCAAGAGAAAAAGAAACAAATCAAACAAAGTATCTTTATTTGTGTATAAAAAAAAGTTTGATCCTGAAAAACCTTGTACAAAAATGGTGTTTGTTTCTTCTTATAAAAACCATACCCTGGAATAATTTATGAACTTTTTTATACAGCTTTATATAGATTAACAAGTGATTCACACAGAAGTAACAAAAGGGCAAAGGGATTCCACCCAATAATTAAAAAATATATATTCTTCATCTAACTGGATAGAGAAGTACCATAGGAATGGTTTTTAAACATGCAGCAGGAAAATACTACACTGGCATTTTAAAATAACTGAAGTTAGTGTCCACTAGAATATACTGCACATTTTATGCTATGTTTACAAGTTTTACAATATTTGTTAAACAAGCTACAGCTCTAATGCAAAATTACTGTACAAATAGAGATCAAGAACGTAAACCTCTAATATTTTATGATTTAAGTTTTTGACCAAAATTAATGAAGTAGCTTGAATATACCAATGTTGAAATTATGTATTTCTGAATTCAAGTAAAGATTGATCGTGAACGCTTTGAAAAATGATTATTTTATTGTTTGAACAGCCTTGCCTAGTAATAATATAGTATTTGGGAAGGTGCTTTTATTATAATGCTAAGTATAGATATTTATTAATTCAAGGGGATATTTTTAGTGATTCTGAAGTATGAATGGCTTTTTTTAGCTTAAGAATTTTATTGCCCTGTTCCTGCTCTAGAAAACTGCTTTTGCACTTAGGCCTAAACCGTCTTCTGAGTTTTAATAATTTTCTCAGACCATTGGCACATCAAATCTTCAAACTCAATTCCATATTGCAATACTGACTGAAGAATTTCAACCTCATCATACTTTGAAACTCATTTGTTATAAAGTTCACAACTAATCATTTGTAGTAAAATTTTAATCTGATTCTCCTGTTAGAATAAATTACTACTTTTACTTTTTGTTTGAGATCAAGTGTAATGAAAGGTAAATTATTTTTGATAAGAAATGACTCATACCAATGAGTACAGGGGAAGTATATAATCAGAATTTCTCTAAATTAAATTAAGAAGCGTACAATTATAAGATAAATACTTATGATCTATATTTGAGATGCTATTGAAAAGAAACAAAAGATCAATTTGAATTCAAAGTCATTAAACATGAACAAGATCTAATCATCTGATACGTGTTTATACATATGCATTGTGATCTATAAAATATTTCCACCACCATTTCCTATTGCCATTTTATATTTCTAAATCGAATGTTTCTTGTACGACATCATTTAGAAAGTTGCTGAGAAGATACTTCTTACTGTAATATAAAACATTTGTTGTGATAAGACACGTTATCTTTTCTACAACACATATATCACAAGCACCTTGTATTGATAATTGATTGCACTTATACTTATCTAGTAGTAAGGCCCACTGGTAAAACTGAGAATTCTAACAAAAAATCAATTTTACATTATTCGCTACACATTTTTTAAGAAATAATGAAAGAAAATAACAGATTATTACCAAACCAAAAGTTCTTATGTCTGTCTCCTATTTGAAAAATGCTAGTTAAAATTATTCTAATTGGCATGATTTTATTATCTAAAAAAATGATTAAGTAACAAAAATTAAATAAATTTTAAAATTATTTGAATCTTGTAGTTAAAGAGTTCACTATAATACATGAATTTAAAACTGGTACGTTGATTTCATTTTATCTCCATCTGCATGAAAAAAGTAAACAGAAATCAAATTATTTGCATTTCTGGATAAAATTTAAAACAAATCTGTCTCTAAAAGGCATAAAGCAATGACTATGCTAATTGTACAAATACTGAAGGTCAAAGCACATAGCTTTCTGACGTTTGTTTTGGTAGCAACAATACTATCAATGGCATTGATGTCTTCCTTGTAATTGCAAGTTTAAAAAAATATTAGAGGAATGTAAAACAAATTTTCTAAAATGATTGATGGAAGAGTTATTACATGTCCTTAGCATTCAAATAAGATTTACTATTTGTAAAAACTCTACTTACTTGGTCTCTTGGCATTCTACATTTGTTTAAACGTCCATACAATTACTAATTACAGGAAACAATAATTGCTTATAATGTGAAACAGATAGGATATCATCACTGTAGTAAAAATGAAGTTCAAAAGTAACTAATATAAATAATTATACAAGTCTTTTTTTTTTTTTGTCACAATGTCTTTAATAATTCTATTTTGGACTGACTTATGCCCAAAACTTATAAGCCTGGCACTTTCAAATTTTAATCAGTCCACAGATCACTGTTTTATGGCCACAATTTCACTATATACTAAACATCTGCCCGCATAAACATTATTTTCCTTAATTGTTCCACTAGATAAATACAGCTTCCTGCTGGTTATGTGTACTCTGCTGTGACTGATGTTGCTCCACACCTGCTAAATGCTGTAAGTTAATTGGTCCAGTTGGGCTTGAAATGCCTTCTGACCAATCACTCTGAGCAGAATATGGGGATGAACTTGACCACTGACCAGGAGATTCTGGTGAAGGAGTTAGGTAAGTTTCGGGGGGAAGCAAGTAATGCTGTGGAGTAGCTTCCGAGCTGTGCTGGCTATGTTGTGAAGGAGGAGTAGGATACTGAAATGTATGCTGATAAGGCACTTGGGGAGAGCCAGACATAAGAGGTTGCTGCCCTAACATTTGCTGGAGTTCAGTAATAGTGGAATTGTCATAGATATTGTTAGCACTCTGTTGTTGTGACTGAATTTGTGCAGCTTTCTGATGATGGGCTGCTCTCATTGCAGCCATGTGTGTTGGTGACGTTGGTAATGAGGGGCGTTGTTTGATAGGGGAAGACACAGTGTAGGACAAAGGTGCAGTGACACTGCTTGGCACAGAACTCTGTCTAGGATGCTGTGGTTTTACAGTCTGACTGTTAGTTTGCAAATAAGGATACATGCCTCTATTCACATATGTTTGTCCATTCTGATCCATGCCTCCAACAAGTCCATATAACTGGGAACTGTTATTTATAAAGTCACTGTAGAGTGGAGGTTGTTTGTTTGGAATATTACAAGTACTATCCAGTCCTGCTAGATTTGAGTGTGGCAGTGCAATGGTGTGTCCACTGTAGATATTTGTGTCATGAGGAGATGGGGTGCCATCCATACAACCTGTTGTGTGAGGAGACTCTAGAGAGTTTACTGGGGACATTGTTACTGTTCCATCCATCCCTGGCATTGCTGGTGGAGGAGGTTCCTTGCGTTTCTTTACAGATGACTTTCTCCTGATCCCCCCGTCGTTGTTAGAAGAGATGTTAGTACTATCCATCAAGGAAGCCATTCCCACCATATTGTTAGCCTTTAGTCTCTTCTTACTCTTGTTAGATCTTGTAGATGCAACAGCAGTTGGGGGTGAAATCATTGTAGGAGAACTTGCATCAACACTCCTTCCTACTAACATGTGTGACATATGAGGACTCTGAGGAACAAAGTCATCAAGAAGCTTCACTATATCATTGTGCATGCGTTCTACAGCAACATCCCTGGGAAGACGATCCATGTGGTCTGTAATTTCTCGGTTAGCAAAATGTTCTAGGAGAATTTGAGCTGCCTGGTAAGCCCCCTCACGTGCAGCCAGAAACAAAGGGGTTTCTTCCTTGTTGTCTTGAGCATCCCTGTTGGCTCCATGAATCAGTAATACACGAACTGCATCAACATTGTTAACAGCTGCAGCCCAGTGTAGTGCAGTTTTACCTATATGTAGAAGAAATAAACACATTTTTTTGATTCAGGTGTATGCTAAACATTTATCAGATAAATCTCAGAGAAGTTTATAAGACTGTTCCAAAAACTTTAAGTTCAACTGTCTTCAGTTCTTCCGTGACAGTCAAAAGAGGCAATTCTATAACAACACAGCGATGTAACACTTTATTTAACAACAAAATTTGTTGTCAACACTAAAGCATATAGGAATGCACTAAACTGAAAGCCAAAATCCCTAGATATTAATTAGTAAAATTTTACGTATGTAACTTTTTCAGTATTTTTAAAGAAGTGCTGTACTTTGGTTGCAATGCCAGTTTCAATCCATGATATTTTAAGCCTAACCCTCCTTGCTGCCATACCAATTTTAAACCATTGTGTTATAGGCTTAGCACTCACATCCATAATAAATATAACTGAGCTACATACACTGCTGATATGAAAGGTAAGTACAGACTTCCACTTTAGTTTATACAAATGTGATTTGTAACTGGTTATTTAATGCAGTTACATAAAAAGGTAAGATATACATCTAAATTCAGATTAGAATTGACTAACAGTAAATTATATATTGATTATGTGATTAAAAAAAAAAACATACTTAAAATTAATAGCCAATGTTAATTTTACTTACATCTGGTAACATTTATTTATAATACTCTGAACTATAAATCACAAAGCTCTTATATTACATACATGCATGGAATTATTGCATAACAATTAAACATTTCCACATCTGATTATGTAAAGATTTAATTAATATTAGATACAAAATAATACTTTGTGTATGTTGCTTTTACTTGATTAAGTATTAACATTATTCATATATACTCAAGGTACTGATGGCGTGCAAGAAAAATTGTCATCACCTGTCATGAACCCACTAGGGGATCAGTGTTCCCTCCCAAACACATACAAGTTTTTTGGAGAAGCAAAAATTATTAAAAATTCTTCAGTTTTCCTTTTTAGTAAAATATATAGTGTTCATTTACCAATTTTGCTAATTAATGATTTAAGAACAACAGTATTTATATTTTTTTTTAACTAGGGTCTTAGCTGTAAATTAACCTTAAAAACGTTAAATATAAATACCAGTTTATGATAACCAAACTTTACAACAGTTTCAGTTGACATTTATAAAAACACTTATTTTTTTATTTCCTTATCCAACTGTTACGACAGCAGAAGTCACGTGACACTGGTAATACGTCAAGATATTCTCTAAGGATCTTGACTTTTCCTGGCAACTCAATCTGTTCTAGGCACCCTCTTTTTTTAGTATATAAGCCTGGCAAATAAAGCAGAGATAATTGCAGAGAGATAATCGAGTCAAGCCATAAGTAAAGTTTGTGAATCACTGTGATTTATAGCGTGTGTTCATAAAAGTAGTCAAGTTTAAAGTG